CGGCATATTGTCCCTAGCCTAGGCTACTGGCATCGACCCCTCTATTCCCTCGGACCTCAGACAGGCGGGTCTGTCGAGAAGCTGTGCCATGGCACGAGGTGTTTCGGTAACGCCGTCGCTTTGCAAGCGATCCATTCAAGACAAGAGCAGAGATGAGTTGATATGGAAAGTTTGTCGAAAGCTGACGGAAAGCGAGGTTCAGGGTGTTCTCTTGCCAGAACTGAAACGTTCAGAAGAGAAGCTTTCTCAAGTATTGAAGTTCTTTAGACAGCAAAAGCGTGGTGATTTGGCTTTCGCTACTTTAGAAGTCGTCAGGGAAGATGGCAGCATAGAGCTCACGGAAGCGCATTACGTGCACGGAATTGCCGCGTCGGCAGCAGCCTCGTTGCCACAACAAGCTGTGAGTTTGTTCGAGGCCATGCCGATGGCAAAAGTGGCGCCAACTGCCATCAGCTATAATGCGACCGTCAGTGCCTGTAAGACAGCCGGGCTGTGGCCACAAGCATTGAAGCTCTTTGAAGCCATGCCCAAGAGAACAGTGCAGAGAGATGTCATCAGCTACAATGCTGCCATGAGTGCCTGTGGAAAGGGAGGAGAATGGCAGCAAGCATTGAAGCTGTTTCATGCTATGCACACCGCTACAGTTCAGGCCAATGTCATCAGCTACGGTGCTACCATCAGTGCCTGCGGAAAGGTTGGGCAATGGCAGCAGGCTCTAAAACTGGTTGAGGCCATGCCCACAGCAACACTGCACCCAGATGTCATTTGCTACAACGCAACCATCAGTGCCTGTGAGAAGGGTGGGCAATGGCAGCCAGCATTAAACTTGTTTCACAAAATGCAAAGCGCGGAAGTTCAGCCAACTGTCATCAGCTACAATGCAGCCATCAGTGCCAGTGTAAAGGGTAGAGAGTTTGGGCAAGCTCTGAAGTTATTTGGGGACATGCCCCAAGCAAATGTTCAGCCAGATGTCATCAGCTACAGTACTGCTATCAATGCCTGTGAGAAGGTTGGACAATGGGAGCAAGCATTGAATTTGTTTGAGGCCATGCCAACGGCACATGTGCAGCCAAATGTCACGAGCTATAACGCGGCTATCAGTGCCTGGGAGAAGGGCGGGCAATGGAGACAAGCCGTCAGGTTGTTTGCAGCGATGTCAAGAGCAACAGTCCAGCCAAATCTCATTAGCCACAGTACAGTCATCACTGCCCTTGTGGGCTGTGGGAAACTTCAGCAAGCATTGAACTTGTTTGAGGCCATGCCCACGGCAACTGTGCAGTCAAATGTCATCACCTGCAGTGTTATCATCACTGCCTGTGAGAAGGCTGGACAATGGCAGCAAGCATTGAAGTTACTCGAGGACATGCCTGAGACCAGCGTTCCAACAGATGTCATCAGCTACAGTGCCTGCATCAGTGCGTGTGAGAAGTGCGGGCAATGGCAGCGAGCATTAAGCCTGCTCAAGGGGATGTTAGATGCAAAAGTGCAGCCAAATGTCATCAGCTTCAGTGCGGCCATCAGCGCCTGTGAGAAGGGCGGACGGTGGCAGCAAGCGTTGAAGTTGCTCAAGGAAATGCCTGAGGCAATTGTTCCACCAGATGTCATTAGCTACAGTGCTTGCATCAGTGCTTGTGAGAAGTGCGCGCAATGGCAGCGAGCATTAAGCCTGCTTAGGGGAATGTCAGAAGAAAAAGTGTCACCAGATGTGATCATCTACAACGCGGCCATCAGTGCATGTGAGAAGGGCGGGCAATGGGAGCAAGCTTTGAATCTGTTGGAGGAAGTAAAGACGGCAACTGTTCAGCCAGATGTCATCAGCTACAACGCAGCCGTCAGTGCCTGTGAGAAGGCTGGACAATGGCAGCAAGCATTGAAGTTGTTTGAAGCCATGCCCAAGGCAAGTGTTCAGCCGAATGTGGTCAGCTACAGTGCGCTTATCACTGCTTGCGAGGAGGGCGGGGAATGGGAGCAAGCGCTCATGTTGTTTCATGCTATGCCCACTGCTGAAGTTCAGCCAAATGTCATCAGCTACGATGCTGCCGTGAGTGCCTGTGAAGAGGGCGGGCAGTGGCAGCTTTGCTTGTTGCTGTTTGAGGCCATGTCAGAAGCAACGGTACAGCCAAATCATATTGGCTACGGTGCGGCCATCAGCACCTTGGAAGAGGCAATGGCACCAAGTAGAAAGCTTGTTGAGACAAGCTAATAGAGTCTGGTCAAGCAGAACAGTATACCGTCAATAGATCTGCACAATTCTGGAGGAAAGTACGTGTGGGCCGTGTGGGCGGAATTTCAGTTCAGCCATCGGTTCGTCACGCCGGTGTCGGTGTTTGACTTGGCTTTTGCCACGTTCGAGGTCAAGTTCAGCCTGACGTTGGTGCAGCCGACTGTGGTAGACAAGATTCCAGCACATCGCGAGGTGCTTTCCAACTGAACGACATTGTATTGTAGCCAGGGGGTCGACCTTATTGAACTCTCAGAAGGAACTGCTCAGTTGGCTGCAGCGCTAGGTTGACCTAGACAGGTGGCTGTGGGTGTGTTCACTCGGGTTGCCCGGTTTGACCCTGGTTAGTAGAACGATGTTTGGTAGTCTATTCTGTTCATCTTTGGGTGGGGACAAATCAGGATCCCTCGGCGCCATGAGAAAAACGGCGTCGACACCGGTGTGTCTTCCAGTTCGGGAGAAGTCCCGGCGTAGGCTGAGTGAATTCATGCGAATGCCGCGTGTCCACGAGCGAATTCACTTGGCATCCCTGTTCAGGCAAAGGGGATAACGTTTAACACCTTTTTGGGGGGATTGGTTTCCCCACTAATTAAACAAGAACAGGTAGAAAAAGGTCCAAAGGTTCATTCCTTTTCGCCAGGGAAACGGCTTGGGAGTCAGCATAAGCTGTCTGACGGCTCGGTCCTACGGCTCGGTCTCTTCTGCGTCCGAAGCGCTTTCGGTCGATCCGCCTGACCAACCAACCGATCGGGCGTACGGAACCGGAGGAGTACAGTAGTTTCAGAGGTTCGAAAAGGACAAGAGGTCTCGGGGTTCGTTTGGGGGGGTCCACTAAACCACCTATAGCTTACTTGGGGGCGCCATCGAACCTCTGAAAACCACGATCAGTCTCCATGTTGCAACGGCGGACCTCACTGAAAGACCTCGGGATCCCACCTGTGACGGAAATGGAGCGGTGGCTTTGGAGTGCTGTGGAATGGAGCCATTGGTCGGTTTCGTGGCATGACCGCATAGCACATCAGGTGAACCGGTACTTTGGACCCATGACCTGTAACAGGACCAACAATGATCACGATTTTTGGACAAGGGCCTTTACTAGCCATCATCCACACTGTTAACAGATGGGATGTACCCAACATATACCGTGGGTGACACTCATCGACTTCGACCAGTCTTTTCATCGACACTTCGACAGGTGGACGAATCGTGGGATCCAATGGAGGATCCCGAAGACTTGGATGACTCGTTTGGTCGATACGTCGAAGTCGGTGGCTTGCACTCCACCACCATGACGACCTGGGAGACAAACCTCGTCTTGGGGCTTTTACAGGAGACATATGCCTCCTGTGACGACCTGTCCTGAGATAGATAGAGGTCTGATTTTTGAATGGAAGGAGCGTGCAGGTTCGCTTCGGGGAAACCGTGCCAGTGGTCTCCGGCAAAGGCTCACGAAACCGCGGCGAGTTGGCGTTGTTCGCTTCGAAGAGAACCGCCTCATCTTCCTAAGAGAGGTGGAACAGCCCTTTTTCGCCCATCCAGTAGCCCATCCCATATGTACCACAGACCGGGGTCCTAGTTCTGGTCTCTCAACCTCCTCTTGGTTTGGAATGACTTCGACACGGGTCTTTGGGTTCCCATCGCCCCTTCGGTCGGAACTCTGCAGGATCCCCCCGGGCCGGGCGTTTTTCACTCCGCGTTTCGGTCGCCGAGCTTCTCGCGGTCGTCGGACCGACTGAAAACGCCACAAATCGGGTGCCAGATGCAACATCAGATTTGGACCGTGCCTCATGTGAAGCTAAGGGTTTCGGCTTTACGGTGGACCACCCGAGGATAGCCCTCGCGAGGTCCATCCAAAACCTTGTGGAAGGGTGTTCCCCCGAGGCACGGACCGCTGTCATCGATCCACGAAAAAAACGACTGGCATCCACCCACTGCGACATGCAGATGACTCACTTGAGTCAGAACCCGGGGGAAAATAAAAAACCTGCTAGTAGGTGGATCATGTCTGGTGACGTCTCTTCTCATTTTGGTGGGAAACTCCCCAATTCCCCCGGCTTCACCAGAGAAGCCGGTCCTCCGCTGCTCCGAAACGGAGCCGGTCTCCGTCGTGGTCTCGGACGTGGTCCGCGCGGTCTCCCGAAGGGAGCGAGGATGACGGTGGTATGACCTATGATTCATTGGGAGTCGGTCAGACTATAAAAAGAATGGTCAAGCTTTAGGGGACCTGAGTTCGAGAACTTCCTTTACTTCAGCCGGTCAACATATAGTCGAACTGGACTTCTAGGGTATGGTCATTGGGTCATCACCACAAATTGGTATGTTGCATTCGGTAATCACTTAGTAAATCTGGCGTGGTATACATTGACACGTTGACACATTGACCCCTTTTCAACCAGCTCAAATGTAGATATGTCATTAATATATTATACATGTCATAGTTGGATTGTTAGGGGTTGGATGAGAACCGACCTACTACAGCCCTTGTCTTTCAGTGCCGCTTTCAGAATACCGGTCGGATTTTGTGGGAACCGTGAAAACCACCATAAACGGGGGACCCTTTCCATCAACCAACCTTTGGATTGGAAAGGCTGAAAGGTTGCCGTGAAATCTCATGGATTCAATGGAAATGAACCCATATGCAAATGACAAGGTTGCCATATAGGTTGCCGTGAAATGGTCTTCCATTGGATGTCCTGCCGTTAAGTGAGAGGCTCCAGAGTGTCCGACCGAACCCATTGTTTGTGCAGCGGCGGTTCGCGACCGCTTCACGACGAGCGCCATGAGACAAGGAGGTGTGAATGTGCTGAAGCGTCAGCAATCGTTTCAGGACACGAGCAGAGATGAACCCATATGGAAACTCTGTAGAAGTCTCATGGGCACTGATGTTGAAAGGGTTTTGTTGCCAGAACTGAAGCTATCGGACGAGAAACTGTCACAAGTATTGAAGATCTTCAGCGAACAGAAGCAAGGCGATCTGGCTTTTGCTACTCTGGAGGAAGTCAGGACAGATGGCAACATTAAACTGAAGGCTTCGCATTACACACTTGGAATTGCTTCATGTGCTAGGTCAAATATGACTCCACAAGCGTTGAAATTGTTAGAGGTCATGCCTCAGGCCAAAGTTCAACCAAATCTTTACAGCTACAGTGCCGCCATCAGTGCCTGTGAGAAGGGTAGGCAATGGCAACGAGCATTGATGTTGTTTGTCGGGATGCCTCAGGCACACATACAGCCAACTGTCATTAGCTACAATGCCGCCATCAGTGCTTGTGAGAAGGGCGGGCAGTGGCAACGTGCATTTAAGTTGTTTGAGGCCATGCCGAAGGCATCAGTGCAGCCAGATGTCTTCAGCTACAACGCCACCATCAGTGCCTGTGAGAAGGGCGGGCAATGGCAACGAGCGTTGAAGCTCTTGGCGGCGATGCGCCTGACACAAGTGCAGCCAGGTGTCATGAGCTACAATGCCACCATCAGTGCATGCGAGAAGGGTTGGCAATGGCAGCACGCATTGAAGTTGTTTGAGGTTGTTCCCCAGGAAACACTGCAGCCAAATGTCATCAGCTACAATGCGGTCATCAGTGCTTGTGAGAAGGGCGGGCAATGGCAGCGAGCATTGATGTTGTTTAAGGGGATGCTCCAGGCAAAAGTGCAGCCGACTGTCATCAGCTACAATGCGGCCATCAGTGCCTGTGAGAAGGGTGGACCCTGGCAACAAGCGTTGAACTTGTTTCAGGCGATGCATTTGGGCAGGGTTAAGCCAAATGTCATCAGCTGCAGTGCGGTTATTAGCGCCTGTGAAAAAGGAGGCCAATGGCAGAAAGCATTGAAGCTGTTTGAAGAGATGCCCCAGGCAGCAGTGCATCCAAATGTCATCAGCTGCAATGCGGCCATCAGTGCCTGTGAGAAGGGCGGGCAATGGCACCGAGCCTTAAATTTGCTTCAGGGGATGTCAGAGGCGAAAGTGCAGCAGACCGTCGTTAGCTACAACGCAACCATCAGTTCTTGTGAGAAAGCTGGACAATGGCAGCAAGCATTGAAGTTGTTTGAGGCCATGCCCAGGGCAAACGTTCAGCCAGATGTGATCAGCTACAGTGCTGCTATCAGTGCCTGTGAGAAGGCTGGCCAATGGGAGCAAGCCATGAAGCTTTTTGAGGCAATGTCCCTAATGGAAGTGCAGCCAAATGTGATCAGCTACAATGCGTCCATCAGTGCCTGCGAGGATGGTGGCCAATGGCGGCAAGCCTTAGACCTGTTTGAGGCAATGCCCAAGGCAAAATTGCAGCGAGATGTCATTAGCTACGATGCTGCCATGAGTGCCTGTGAGGAGGGCGGGCAGTGGCAACTTTGCATGTGGCTGTTTGAAGCCATGTTGGAAGCAACCATACAGCCAAGTCATATTTGCTACAGTGCGGCCATCAGCACCTGCGAGAAGGCAATGGCAGCAAGTACAAAGCCTGTTGAGGCAGGCTAATCGATCGACACCGTTGTGCGCACAGCCCCTTCCGGGCAGATTGTTGTTTCAGCAAGGTTGTTCCAAGCTGAAGGACAAAGTTCAAGATTCCACTGGTTTCAGCTAAAGAGTGAATTGATATGTTAGCCTGCAGGGCGTTAACATGTTGCAATGGCATCAGGCAGGCCTCTCCTCACAGGCTGGTCATCTTTGTCGTTTGCTAGCAAAAGAGTGCGTGTTTGTTGCCGGCTTGAACCCTCAGCCTATTGGTTGTGCCAAAAGTTGTGCTTGAGTTGTTGTTTCAACCCTGGGGCATCTATGCCGCAGATTGGGTCACAGGACTCTTCGCGTTTTCGTCATTTTTGTTCCACGCACATACGAACCCAACGTCCGCGCACGGAGGCAGCGCGTCATTCTTCGTCATGGAACTTCAGGAACCATTCATTCCCAAAGCGATTCCTAAAGGCTCCGAAAGGCTCCCCTCGGCTTCCAGTGGCGGATCCGAATGATGGCTTCCAGGCCGTTTCATCGCCTTGTGCTCCTCCAAGAAGAGTGTGGGACTGATCGCTGGGTCTCCGGATCAAATGAAAACTTCAGCGAAAACAGGTCAGCCCTCATTGATTGCCTATTTTTGGGGGGAGGATGTGGTTTTGTCACGTTTTCTCTCATGTTACATCATAGTCACAGCGGGCTCTCGCTGATGGGCCCTTGTTTTTCACCAGGCAGCACGAGTAAAACAGGATGAAGCCGAACCTGAACGGAAAATCAGTTGAATACCGCTCTGAATACCTCAGACTGTGTGCCACACTGTGACACTTACGGAACACTTGTGTGGAACACTCTTAACTTTGACACTCTTCTAAGACGCTTTTGAACTTTTGAAGGAGACTGTTGCTTGACACTCTTCTACGACTCTTCTTCACTCTTGTAATACAGCCCTGTGCAACACTCTTCTGCGACACGATATATTCGACACTTTTCTGCAACACGACCGGCGACCTGCGACCGGTGCGCACCAGGCGGAGCGCAGCACGAAGCGCCGTTGGGAAGCGCAAAGGTTTCCCAAAAGATGCTCCGTGGCCTCGGTTCACGTTTGGACGCTCCAAAAACATGACACACTGAAAAACGTCCTTCCATCCAAGATCTCTAGCATCCTAAGTAGACTAGAAGTTTCCCCAACTAGCCCACACAGACCATGCAGTGGCTCGACAACTGAGCAAACGCCAACACAGCTCTACTCAGAGAAACACCCAGAGTTAAACAAAAGCCCTTGGCTACAAACTCGGGTAAAATCTACATTCTCACTTGGACGCGTTCGAAGGCTTGCCAAAATGACACTTGGTGCATAGCTGCAATGTTAACAATGTACAGCTCTACAGATGTCATGCTGAGATGTTTGTTTTCATTTGGCTCAAAGCATCTCAAAACAACAACTTTAGTTTCGCCGACTTCGAAGCAGGGCTATGAAACAAGGAAGTGTGAATGTCTTGAAGCGCCCACTATCACTTCATGAAAGGAGCAGAGATGAATCGATATGGAAACTCTGTGGAAACCTCTTGTGCAATGATGTTGAAAGGGTTCTGTTGCCAGAACTCAAGCTATCAGAAGAGAAACTTCCACAAGTATTGAAATTCTTCAGTGAGCAAAAGCAAGGTAGCTTGGCCTTTGCCACGTTGGAAGCGATCAGGAAAAATTGCACAATCCAGCTGAAAGCGTCGCATTACACGCTTGGGATTACCTCATGTGCTAGATCAAACAAATCACAGCTAGCGCTGAGGTTGCTAGAGGTCATGCCTCAGGCCAAAGTTCAACCAAATATTTACAGCTACAGTACTGCCATCAGTGCTTGCGAGAAGAGTAGGCAGTGGCAGCAAGCGATGACCCTGTTTGAGGAAATGCCCAATGCCACAGTCCAGCCCAATGATATTAGCTATAACGCGGCCATCAGTGCCTGTGAGAAGGGCGGGCAATGGCACCGAGCCTTCAACTTGCTTCAGGGGATGTCAGAGGCAAAAGTGCAGCAGACTGTCATAAGCTACAACGCAACCATCAGTTCTTGTGAGAAAGCTGGACAATGGCAGCAAGCATTGAAGTTGTTTGAGGCCATGCCCAGGGCAAACGTTCAGCCAGATGTGATCAGCTACAGTGCGGCCATCAGTGCCTGTGAGAAGGCTGGCCAATGGAAGCAAGCAATGAAGCTTTTTGAGGCCATGTCCCTAACAGAAGTGCAGCCAGATGTAATCAGCTACAATGCGTCCATCAGTGCCTGCGAGGATGGTGCCCAATGGCAGCAAGCATTAGACCTGTTTGAGGCAATGCCCAAGGCAAAATTGCAGCGAGATGTCATTAGCTACGATGCTGCCATGAGTGCCTGTGAGGAGGGCGGGCAGTGGCAACTTTGCATGTGGTTGCTGGAAGCCATGTTGGAAGCGACCATACAGCCAAGTCATATTTGCTACAGTGCGGCCATCAGCACCTGCGAGAAGGCAATGGCAGCAAGTATAAAGCCTGTTGAGGCAGGCTAATCGATCGACACAGTCGTGCACACAGCCCCTTCCGGGCAGATTGTTGTTTCAGCAAGGTTGTTCCAAGCTGAAGGACAAAGTTCAAGATTCCACTGGTTTCAGCTAAAGAGCGAATTGATATGTTAGCCTGCAGGGCGTGAACATGTTGCAATAGCATCAGACAGGCCTCTCCTCACAGGCTGGTCACCATTTGCCGTTCGCCAGCTCGTTGCTGCCGTGAGAAGTGCTAAAAATGCGTTGATGGCGCACCCCATTGGTTGTGCTTAGTTCATTGCTAGAACCCTTTTGGCGGGAGTTTGACCATCTTTCTACGAAGGAAATTGTGTGTTTTCTGGGTAGAACACCCTCTTTGATTAGACGATCCAACAGGAACAGACAGACATTCATTGATGACCACCGTGGATAACCACCTCCTGAACCTTTAAGTGTGAGCCACTGATCTTTTCCAAAGACATTTTCTGCTGAGGCTGGTGATTTTTAGGTTACACCCGGCATCTTCCATTTTACAAAAAAAAGAGTGGGGGTGCAAACAGAGACTAGACATTTTGCCATAACCAAAGCAGCATAATGGGTCTTAGGGCTCTCCACGTTCCACCGCCTCGCTGTCTTAAGTTCTTTCGCCGGACGAAAAGCCGGTGGATCCACTCCACCACCACCGAGAACAGAATGCGTTGTGAGGGGATGGGAACCGTCGCAGATCCACTGCATTTCGTCGCGGCTAGAGACTGGACCCTCCCCTGCGTCCGAAGGGATGAGTCTATGGATGGGTCTATGGCTAATCTAGATCGGTGTTCTCCTAGATCTCGTCTAATCTCATCCCTTAACTATGAGTCTAGATAAGGAAGTACCATGGATTACCTATGAGTCTATGAGATTCGGTGTTCTGTTTTCGTCTCATATGACAACCCTGAGAAGGTAGATCCACAAAAGCCCCAACTTCTTTCGGGGACCAGGACGGACCTGGCCATACAAAACGGGATTTACTCGGCATGCATCATGTAGGATCTTGATGAATCAACTCCCTATATGGAGAGGTTGTTGACTCCCAATGAGGGGGACTATGAATTAATCAAGATCCGACATTAGAACCCAATGTTCGGCATTCATCATGATCCCTTCGAAGCCATGTTTCTCAGAACCCAACTTTTTTGGGTCCTCGGAACCTGGCGGTGCGTTCATGGAAATCTGGTCATAGGCTGACATGGTCACACTAGTAGCTTCTTGTTACTAGTAGTAAGAATGCTCCTCGTAGCAATGCCAGGAGCCCCGTTCGTAGCGTCCTTGCTCCTAGTAGTAAGGCCAGGAGCCCCTGGTAGCTTCTTGCAAATGAATCAGGGAAGTTTCGCCCACGACTGATTCCTGTGGATCCAGCCACTCTCATTCCATACCAGTCACACGAGTCAGTCGTTGAGGCAGGTTTACGACACGTTTCCATGACTGCGGGCTCTCACCAATGTGCCCTCGTGATTTTCTCCAAGCAGCAACAGTCAAAAAATCTACATCCTCGTTAGCACTCTTCAAATCCCAAGCTATGGTTTGTATGGGGTTTATATATATATATATCGGATTGGCCAAAAACTGTTTTGGTGCATACTTGCGATATACATCCACAAGACTACGGGTGCAATCCTGAGATGCTTGGGTGTTTGGCTCACATCTGAAAAGAAAATCAACTTTAGTGTTGCTTCAAATCAGCGCTATGAAACAAGGAGGTGTGAATGTCTTGAAGCGCCCAGTATCGCTTCATGAAAGGAGCAGAGATGAACCGATATGGAAACTCTGTGGAAACCTCTTGTGCAATGATGTTGAAAAGGTTCTGTTGCCAGAACTCAAGCTATCAGAAGAGAAACTTCCACAAGTATTGAAGTTCTTCGGCGAGCAAAGGCAAGGCGACTTGGCGTTCGCAACTTTGGAAGCCGTCAGGAAAAATGGCACAATCCAGCTGAAAGCGTCGCATTACACGCTTGGGATTACCTCGTGTGCTAGATCAAACAAATCACAGCAAGCACTGAGGTTGCTAGAGGTCATGCCTCAGGCCAAAGTTCAACCAAATATTTACAGCTACAGTGCTGCCATCAGTGCCTGCGAGAAGGGTAGGCAATGGCAGCAAGCAATCACGCTGTTGGACGAAATGCCTAAGGCAGCCGTGCAGCCAGACGTATTCAGTTGCAGCGCGGCCATCAGTGCCTGTGAGAAGGGCGGGCAATGGGAGCGATCATTAAACCTGCTCAACAGGATGTCAGAGGCAAAAGTGCAGCAGACCGTCATTAGCTACAACGCAACCATCAGTTCTTGTGAGAAAGCTGGACAATGGCAGCAGGCATTGAAGTTGTTTGAGGCCATGCCAAGGGCAAACTTTCAGCCAGATGTGATCAGCTACAGTGCGGCCATCAGTGCCTGTGAGAAGGCCGGCCAATGGGAGCAAGCCATGAAGCTCTTTCAGGCCATGCCCCTAGCAGAAGTGCAGCCAAATGTGATCAGCTACAATGCGTCCATCAGTGCCTGTGAGAAGGCCGGCCAATGGGAGCAAGCCATGAAGCTCTTTCAGGCCATGCCCCTAGCAGATGTGCAGCCAAATGTGATCAGCTACAATGCGTCCATAAGTGCCTGTGAGAAGGGTGGACAATGGAAGCAAGCATTCAATTTGTTTGCGACGATGCTGGAGTCCAACTTGCGGTCAACTGTCATCAGCTATAACGCGGTCATCAGTGCCTGTGAGAAGGGTTGGCAATGGCAGCACGCATTGCTGTTGTTTGATTCCATGCCGAAGGCAACAGTGCAGCCAAATGTCACTAGCTACAACGCCGCCATAAGTGCTTGTGAGAAGGCTGGTCCTTGGCAGCAAGCATTGAAGCTGTTTGATTCCATGCCCAAGGCCACACTGCAACCGAATGTTATCAGCTACAATGCAACCATCAGTTCTTGTGAGAAGGGTGGACAATGGCAGCAAGCTTTGAAGCTGTTTGAGGCCATGCCAACTGCAAATGTTCAGCCAAATGTCATCAGCTTTAGTGCAACCATCAGTGCGTGTGAGAAGCGTGGGCATTAGCAGCAAGCGTTGAAGCTGTTTAATGTGATGCTCAAGGCAAAAGTACAACCCAATGTGATTAGCTACAACGCTGCCATCAGTGCCTGCGAGAAGGGCGGGCAATGGCAACAAGCATTGAAGTTGTTTGTGGTGATGCCCAGAGCCAACCTGCAGCCAAGGGTCATCACCTACAGTGCAGTTATCAGTGCTTGTGAGAAGTGCGGACAATGGCAGCAAGCGTTGAAGCTGTTTGAGGACATGCCCCAGGCACAAGTGCAGCCAACTGTCATCACCTACAATGCGGCCATCAGTGCCTGTGAGAAAGGAGGACAATGGCAGCAAGGATTGAAGCTATTTGAGGCAATGACCAAGGCAGGCGTTCGACCCGATGTTGTCACCTACAGTGCGCTTATCACTGCGTGTGAGGAGGGCGGGGAATGGGAGCAAGCGCTCATGTTGTTCCATGCTATGCCCACGGCCGAAGTTCAGCCAAATGGCATCAGCTATGATGCTGCCATGAGTGCCTGTGAGGAGGGCGGGCAGTGGCAGCTTTGCTTGTTGCTGTTTGAGGCCATGTTGGAAGCAACCATACAGCCAAATCACATTAGCTGCAGTGCTGCTCTCAGTACCTGTGAGAAGGCCATGGCAACTAGCACAAAGCTTGTTGAGCAGCAAGCTTATTAATAAGTCTTTGTACAAGCAGAAGAGAGCGACCTCCAGAAGCTCTATCTGTTCCCAGAATGGGTGGACAAGCTCGACCGTGCTCCAAATGAAGTGCTCAGTTGGCTCCAAGCACAGAACCTGGATGATGTGTTTGCTTGTTGAGGATGTCGAAAAAAATCTAGCAGATTGACAACTTGCAGCAATCGCCGTGTTGAGCGAGATTCTTTACAGCACTTTTTTGGCGGAGATTTGTGTGAGCTGAAGCTCTTGCTTTTCTGGGATGTTCGGCTGGCTTTGAGCGCAGCATAGCGCAGCATAGTTCGGATGAAGTGCCTTGATTCGGATCAGACAAACAACTCTTGAACCAGTCTTCCACCCACTCCAGCGAATCTTCAAGGGATAAGATTAGAATACATAGAGGGTTATCTCCAATTCCCTGTATGGTCTCCTTACACCAGTCTTCCCTGTATTCCTGGAATATCTTTCCACCAATTCCTTCGGCCGAAGATGTGGAATTCACCTGTCGCCTGTATCGTGGGGTCGGGTTACGTCGCCCAGGTCGCATCCGAAGATGGGTGCGAAAGAAAGGGGTAGGAGCTGCAGGAGAAGCAGCGCTGGGCTTGTTGGAAGGACGTTCGTACTTATAATAGGTATACGTATACCCAGTCAATACTGTCCCCAGTCAATACTGACCCCAGTCAGTTGGCATTCCAAATTTTTGTTGGCAGATGTTTCGATTGGTTTCGAGATTGGTTTCGACGGCGACGGCGAATCCAACCAGGTGGAAAGTTCGGTTCACTGATTGGTTCGGTTCACCGGGCGTGTGGGTTCCCCGCTTTGGCTGTGTCATGTGTTTGCCTCCTTTGTTTTCGGGGCACCTGCCACACAAGCATGTGGTGGTGTGTTTTAAATAGGGAGATCGCCAACCAATTGGTGTTGGTCTAGTCTTCGGGAGGTCTTCCAAATTGAAAGACACACCCATGGTGCTGCAAGAAGCCCTTGGCTGATTGCTTCAATCCTTTTCTCCGTGGGACCACCGTCCGCGAACACGCTCAATGAGGTCCTTTGAAGGATGTGGGGCCAGTTGTTTTGAGGCATCGAATGTGGGACCATCTTCCATTTCGATCCAAAAAATGGATGATGTGAACAGCTTCCATTCCCTCGAGTCTTAGCACTTTTTGTGGCCAGACAATGCAGGGTTTGTTTCATGTTGTTTCCATGTCCGTTGCTGCAACTGGGAAGCTTGTCTTGGCCACGGACATCTCGTGTGGCCAGTCCTGCGAGTCAGGTCAACCCACATGAAGACCGCAAAGGATCACCTGCAGAAGCTGAAAAACCGAGCCAGTCAATGGATCACCTGCAAAACCGGAGGATGAGTGGCACCCCACGAAATATGGACGGCGAACGATGGTCGGTTCACCGTCCTTTGGTTCCGCGAAACGGTTCTGATCCGGCCGGAACCGTTTGGGGACGAAACGAGCCAACGACCGGATCAACGACCGTCCTGAGGGAGCGACGAACGGATCTCACCGAAGCGCGAAGTGGCCGGGAGTTGCGTTGAACCGAAGCGAAGTGGCCGAAAATGGCCGAAAAAGGGTCCTCAAGTGAAATCTGGACGTCGAACGTCCGGTGGCTCTGTTTGTCAGATCTGTTTCAGAACAAGAGTTCCCTCCTATTAGTCTGTTGTTGGGCATCGAGCTTAGCACTGCCAAGTCACCAGAGGGGCAGAAGTGGCCAGGTCGTCAACGCACTTTGCATTTAGTTTGGTCTCATTGATGTTATCATTCCTACCCGCAACAAGCTGGCGAGGTCAATCAAATGAGAAATAGCCATAGTGTCCTTTCATTGGCCGTTTCCTGATGCTCAAAGGGTTTTGCTTCTGAAACAAATGGTGCCATGAAACAAGCAGTTGTGAACGTCCTGAAGCGCCCAGTATCACTTCATGAAAGGAGCAGAGATGAACCGATATGGAAACTCTGTGGAAACCTCTTGTGCAATGATGTTGAAAGGGTTCTGTTGCCAGAACTCAAGCTATCAGAAGAGAAACTTCCACAAGTATTGAAGTTCTTCAGCGAGCAAAGGCAAGGCGACTTGGCGTTCGCAACTTTGGAAGCCGTCAGGAAAAATGGCACAATCCAGCTGAAAGCGTCGCATTACACGCTTGGGATTACCTCATGTGCTAAATCAAAAATGTCACAACAAGCGCTGAGGTTGCTAGAGGTCATGCCCCAGGCTCAAGTTCAACCAAATATTTACAGCTACAGTGCTGCCATCAGTGCCTGCGAGAAGGGTAGGCAATGGCAGCAAGCAATCACGCTGTTGGACGAAATGCCTAAGGCAGCCGTGCAGCCAGACGGCGTCAGTTGCAACGCGGCCATCAGTGCCTGTGAGAAGGGCGGGCAATGGCAGCGAGCATTAAACCTGCTTCACGGGATGTCAGAGGCAAAAGTGCAGCAGACCGTCATTAGCTACAATGCAACCATCAGTTCTTGTGAGAAGGCTGGACAATGGCAGCAAGCATTGAAGCTGTTTGAGGCCATGCCCAGGGCAAATGTTCAGCCAGATGTCATCAGCTACAGCGCAGCCATTAGTGCCTGCGAGAAGGGCCGGAAATGGCAGGAAGCATTGAACCTTTTTGAGAGAATACCCGATGCCAAAGCGCAGCCAAATGTCATAAGCTACAATGCAGCCATCAGCGCCTGTGAGAAGGGCGGGCACTGGCAACAAGCCCTTAAGCTGCTTGAAGATATGCTTGACACAAACCGTCAGCCAAGTGTCATCAGCTACTGTGCGGCGATCAGTGCTTGTGAGAAGGGCAAGCAATGGCAGCAAGCATTGCAGCTCTTGATGGCCATGCCCAAGGCAACTGTGCGGCCAGATGTCATCAGTTACAACGCTGCCATCAGTGCCTGCGAGAAGGGTGGGCAATGGCAACATGCGTTGAAGCTATTTGGTGCGATGCCAGTGGCAGCAGTACAGCCAGATGCCATCAGCTACAATGCAACAATTAGCGCTTTTGAGAAGGGTGGGCAATGGCAGCCAGCCTTGGAACTCGTTCAGGCCATGATCAAGGTAAGAGTGCATCCAAATGTCATCAGCTACAATGCGGCCATCAGTGCCTGTGAAAAAGGCGGGCAATGGCAACAAGCATTGATGTTGCTCGAGACCATGCCACTAGCAAAAGTTCGACCAACTGTTATTAGCTACAATGCGGCCATCAGTGCCTGTGAGAAGGGTGGACAGTGGCAGCAAGCATTAAAGCTGGTTGAGGCAATCCACATCGCAAATGTGCAGCCCGACATCATCACTTATAGTGCTGTCATCAGTGCCTGTGAGAAGGGCGGGCAATGGCAGCAAGCGCTGAACCTTTTTGAGAGAATACCCGACTCAACAGCAGACCCGAACGTCATAAGCTACAACGCAACCATTAGTGCCTGCGAGAAGGGTGAGCAGTGGCAGCAAGCATTGAAGCTGTTTGTGGCTATTTCCAAGGCAAACCTTCAGCCAAGCGTCGTCAGCTACAGTGCGGCTATCAGTTCCTGCGAGAAGGGTGGGCATTGGCAGCAAGCATTGAACTTGTTTGAGGCCATGCTGACTGAAACTGTGCAGCCAGATGTTTTCAGTTACAACACGGTCATCAGTGCTTGTGAGGAGGGCTGGCAATGGCAGCAGGCATTAAAGCTGTTTGGGGCCATGCCCCTGTCAAAAGTGCTGCCCAATGCCGTCAGCTACAATGCGGCTATCAGTGCCTGTGAGAAGGGTGGACAATGTTTGCAAGCACTAAAGCTATTTGAGGCCATGCCAAACACCAGCGTTCAGCCAGATGTTATCAGCTACAGTGCAGTCATCAGTGCCAGTGAGCAGCATGGAGAATGGCAGCAGGCATTGAAGCTGTTTGAGGAAATGCTCCAGGCAAAATTGCAGCCAACTGTCATCACCTACAATGCGGCCATCAGTGCCTGTGAGAAAGGAGGACAATGGCAGCAAGGATTGAAGCTATTTGAAGCCATGCCCAAAGCAAGCGTTCAGCCGAATGTCATCAGCTACAGTGCACTCATTACTGCTTGCGAGGAGGGTGGGGTATGGGAGCAAGCGCTCATGTTGTTCCATGCTATGCCCACGGCCGAAGTTCAGCCAAATGTTATCAGCTACGATGCTGCCATGAGTGCCTGTGAAGAGGGCGGGCAGTGGCAGCTTTCCTTGTTGCTGTTTGAGGCTATGTCGGAAGCAACCGTACAGCCAAATCTCATTAGCTACAGTGCGGCCATCAGTACCTGTGAGAAGGCAATGGCGCAGTCATCTTTCGTGAGGGAGAACAGTGCAGTTGTCCATTGATGGACGTGTGGAGGAACCACACTGCACGTGGGTTGAAAGTTGCAGGAATTGTATAGGAGGAACCCTGTGAGCCCCAAGCAAGCTTTGCCCCAAAAAGAGCTCGTGAATCCGCAGCCCATCCATCATTCGTGATTTGTCTGTGGGTCATGGCACCGGCAATACCCTGGTCTTTTTCCCACCGAACATGTTCACAGGTCTTAGACTACTCTGGCTTTAGGTGAACCTACCAGGTATGAGGGCTCGAACCAGGTGTCATGACCCACAGCCATCTACACCTGCAGAGCTCGTTTGCACCGTCCTCCCAGGCCCCCCTTCTCCGCACCTGCGAGGCGCGGAGATGGCGCGCGCGGCTACGGGCGGTGTGTTTCGATGGATCAAGTGCAGTGAGTTCAAGGCCAGTCAGGTGGTATCAAGGTCCATCCCCAGCACTTGAAGTGAAGGGATAGGTACAATGCTGTTTTTTTAATCCAACTTGGAATCAGCACTTGGCAGGTCACGGAAGAAAGATCTCGGACACGCTCCTCGAAAGGTTTGCGACAGTACTTACTCTTTTTCAACCACCCACATCGCTATCCTCTGGAGTGAAGGGATCATCTCGTCCTCCTGCCTTTCCAACCACATGTGTCCTGTCAGATCCCTAAGACAGACACCTGGGGCTTCCAGGTGACCGGTGTGTGTGTGTGTGTGTGTCTTCACTCGACTCATGGACCCCATGGCCGTCGATCGTTCGGAACGCGGTCGAACAGTGGGGTGAACGACCGGGTCGACTTCCTCGCCGAGGTCGAGGCGCCAGCACCACGCCTTCCTATGACCGCTATGATTTCTGCCGCGCCGTCGCGAGCGCGTTTCTGTCGCGTGTGTTGAAACCGCGTGGTGGTGGGGTCTCACTGGAGTTCCCAAAGGAGGAGGTCGCAGATGAGCAAAAAGAGTCCTTTAGGGTCGCAGTGCGATGGAATGGTCACAGGTTGACGATGAAATGCCAGGTTGACGATGAGTTTCCTAAACCAAAGGAAGGGTCCTTTTCTCTCTAAATCTTGCTGTGTGATTTTTCTATGTTTTCTATGATAGGCCTCAGAATGTGTTTCACTGTGGAATACTGTGGATCAGAAAGCAAATCCTACCAATTACCATGGGTTGACCACGAACATGGTCGGGCGAGGATTCTGTGAACCTTTTGGCTACTCACTAGATGTCCCGAGACTTGAGCAATCAAGTTTTGTTTGGCCCTGACGTTTTGTTAGTGGTCGTGGTGGTTAAGAATATTGTCCTTGCTTCACGGCATGTGCAAATGGTTACCCTAACTGACGAACATGTTTGTTCTCTGGTTGAAACCAACCAGATATCGATCAGGATCGTTTCTTCTTTAGTTCGTTTGTGTAACGGTCGGTGGCCGGTCGGTGGCTGCTAAAGGTCGGTCCCACGCGTCGCACGTGACCTTACAGCTAGCAATGGCTCCTATGACCTTAGCAAGAAATGGAGGCACATGAACTCATGGCATAGTACAACTGACATGTGAGAACATAGGGAGCAACCATTTGCTTTGGCAACTAGTTCAATATTGTTACAAAACGTGTTTGAAGAGTGAAGTGTCAACGCGCATTCTTTGTAGATCTTTCAACAGCTCTTCGAGGTACTTGTCTTGGAATGCCCTTAGCCTAGTATATAAAGAGGCCTTTCTTGACAATGAAAAGACCTATGCACCAATCATCAGAAGCCTGTCCCAGGAGAATCCAAAGAGGTTGTTTCTGAGAACTCTGAGTGTATCCGGTCTCCGGCAGATACCACCCACAAAAAGAACAGAACAAAACGATGCAGTTATGCACCTTTACACCACACCCACACCCACATCCCCCCTTCCCCCCCACGTGGCCGGGCCGTTTCAGCGCCGTCCTCCGCCCTCCGCCCTCCCAATGGCTGACCTGCCACGTCCGCTCTCACCGGCGAGCGGCGGGAACCGGTGAAGAGGCCGGGAACCGTCCACCGGTCGCTGCGGTGTCCTCCAGTCGCTGCAGGTCCGCCAGGAGCGCCAGGAAGTGGGAAGACCCTGGTTGCAAGAATGCGCACATCAAGCAAGGGTGAACGTGAAACACAAGGTGGTCAGTCCGGTCGCTGGTTTTAGATAGAAGCTATTTGATGATGAATATGATCTGGTTTGTATGGGACGCTGATAGAGAGGTGTTAAATGCAGAGCTGAGGCTGCACGGCTGAACAGGTGTGCCATTTGGA